ACAGACCTCCGGATTTTTCGTCGGGCCCTGAAAACTTATTTATTTCAACTAGCTGGGCTGGCTTGAGCTAAATTTTAAATTGATTTTAAATTGGGTTGTTTTAATTTACGGCCAGAATATTTAATTATTTTAATACTGTTTTTTAAATTTTGTATGCTTTGTTTTTACTTAGGCTGTGCACCGCCCTGAGTCCTATTTGGAGAAGGGCGGTATAGAAATTTAAACAAATAAATAAATAAATAAATAAATCTTGGTCATACTTTGTGGAATACAAATATAATGTCACTCGGGGGGGTTTTATACAAAGAGGTTCTTTTTACAGATGCGGGCAGATGGCAGCTGAAGACATTGCAGACACTGTTGGACGAAGGGATTAATTTAACTTGGTTACAATATAATCAATTACAATTGAGATGGAAAGAGGACCAAAAAACTGGTATTATGTTGCACGAGGAAGAATTGGTTAGACATATAAGAGAGAAAGGTCCAATGCATATCAAAAGGCTTTATAATGTTTTGCTAGAAAGGGACTCAGAAACTGAATTAGTTAAAGATTGTATGATTAAGTGGGTACAAAATTTTGAAGAACCAGTGATGTTGGAAACATGGGAAAAAATTTGGGTTCAGAATGTTAAATTTACACAGTCGCAGAACCTGAGGGAAAATTTCTATAAAATGTTTTATAGATGGCATTTAGATCCCAAAAAGTTGTCATGTATGTACCCTAATGTTCAGCCAAAATGTTGGAGATGTGAATGTTTGGATGCTACGTATTATCATGTTTGGTGGACCTGTAGGAAAGTTAAGGCTTTTTGGATAAAAATTTGGTGGGTCATGCAGAATGTTTTGAAGAAAAAAATTCAATTCTCTCCACAATTGTTTTTATTGGGTATAGTTAAGGGTTTTACATCGGGTGAAACAAAATTGATATTGTATATGATAACAGCAGCAAGATTGTTGATAGGTAAATATTGGAAAAATGAAGCTTTGCCCACTATTGAAGAATGGACTTTGAAGATGGCCAGTTTTGCAGAGATGGCGAAGATTTCAGCATATTTAAAAGATTGTTCACAAGAGACTTATGAATGGGAATGGAAAAGGTGGATAGAATATGTTCAGAACAAATATCAAACTAGAAAGTATCAAATAGCTTTTATTTGAAAATAATGTATTAGAAATATTTTAATGTAATGAGGTAAAGAGAAAAATTATACAGGGGAGGGAGGGGTTCAAGTTTACACATAAGTGTCATATTAAGGGGGTTTTTTTTGTGTGTGTGTGTGTGTTTTTTTACCAGTTATGAGTATATTATAGGGAAGTCTGGGGGGAGGGGAGGGTTAGGGAGGGTTAGGGAGGTTGGGAAGTTTGGGGTGGGTGGGAAAAAGGGGTGAAAATGTAATTGTAAAACTTTTGCAATAAAAAAAAAAGAAATAGAAATAAGAGGGGAATAATAGTACATATATATATATATTAATACGTTAAGATATATGAAAGAAGAAGGTTTAGAAATGAAGGATGATAGTAAAAGATATGTAAATAATATGAAACAATGAAAATGAAATGTAATAACTAGGAATAATAATATTATGTTTATTTGTATTGAAGTGTATGATACCCAGGTATCACACCATTCACGCATTGATATGTACAAACAATAAAAAGGAAACAAAAAAAGGAAAGCATGGAAAACGCAAAACAAGCATTGGTCCCTCAAACGCCTTTCCAAATAGGGAGCAAGGTTTACCTCTCCACCAAGTATTTAAGCTTAAAACTACCCTGCAAAAAGTTAGGACCAAAGTTCATAGGACCTTTCCCTATCGTGAAGATTATTAACCCTATCATGGTGGAGCTGAAGCTCTCTGCCTGGTAGGGAAAGTGCATCCGGTTTTCCACAGCTGCTTGTTAAAGCCAGTAATAGGGTCTCAGCTGAGGCCAGTGGACTGGACAGCCCCAAAGCAGATCATAGTGCAGGGGGAGATGTATTACAAGATAAAAAGGATCTTAGACTCTAAACTGTACAAGGGAAAACTACAATACCTGGTGCAATGGAAGGGATACTCATTGTCCAAGGCCACCTGGTAAAAAGCTGGGATGTAAAAGCAAATAGACTAACTAACAATTACACAATAAATACCTCAAAAGCCAAAAGCACCTCCAGTGGGAGGGAGAGGTACTTGATTGAAAACTAATGTATTTTCCATTTGAATTTTTCCAGGAACTTCTCTCAAGTTAAGGGGAACAGTCCAACTGTCAATTCTGAAGCGAACCTGGCTGAAGCCACCTTTTGCTGCCTCATAGTTGCCATGAACCCTGGGAAGGGGGAAGTAGATAGACTGGCTAATAGTCAAAACAAAAAGTTTTCTTGTGGGAACCAAAGTCATCTCAATAGGTGACTGTTGAAAGAGGAGAGGAATGATCAAGCAGCCTGCCAGCTACTTTCATTAGACAATGTGATCAGTGAAAGCTGGGAGAGAGAACTTTTGCTCTTTTAATTAGGTGAAAACCACGGGAACTTTTAGAGTTGGTTTTCACTGGCTGTGCTGATAAGATGTATCCAATAAATATATTCTTTGAGGAATCTACCTGCCTCAGAGTTCTGCTTTTGGTGGGTGTATTACTCGGAACACTGACACTTTAATTGTTTGCTTCATCAGGACTATTTAGGAGACAGGCAAAGCAAAATAAGAAAATATGTTGTATGTTCTTATGCACTATAAACATTTTTACCAAAAGAATCCATGGCAGAACAAGCAATAGATATAAGTGAAGATTCAATAGCATTTGGTACATTTAGCATTAGAACATAAAATTGTGGTGGCACAGTGATTAGAATGCAGTATTGCAACATAATTCTGCTGACTGCCGACTGCCAGCAGTTCATCAGTTTGAGTCTCACCAGCTCAAGGTTGATTCAGCTTTCCATCCTTCCGAGGTCGGTAAAATGAGGACCCAGGTTGATGGGGAAAATATGCTGGCTTTGTCAACCACTTAAACAGAGCTGTAAAGCACTGTGAAGCGGTATATAAGTATAAATGCTATTTCTATATGTATACAGATGGATGTTTAAAAATCTGTGCAGAACAATGTTTTCCTTTCTCCAGCATTTCCTGAAATTATCAAAGGCCAAATGACATTGCAAACATTGAAATAAACAAATAAATAAAAAGCATGGTTTAATATGTGTCCACTGAACCTGAAACAGTCATCATTTAGGATTTATACAAATATTGATTATAATCCTTTCATTATGTAGGCTTTGCCAGTTTAGAGCTAAACTATGACAAAGTTCTAACAAAGGGTACATAAAATCTAGCTACAGCATAACTATTATATAACCTTAACAAAATAAAGTAAGTATTTTAATGTGTGCAATCTATGTCAAAAATCATATATTTAAGAAATAATTTATTTAAGAGATAAATTCTATTGGTCTCTATATGTAAATATCTTTATATAATTTCTGCATCAAAAATGGCAGGAAGGAGTGGAGAGCTATTAGGTAGAAGATAAACATACTAAATATACACATGTTCTTTTCAAAGTTTCATTTAACTCAAAGTTTATTGGCAGTTTTCTGTGGGAACTGGTGGTATAGTAAGTTTATATAATTAACTAGCAAACTAGCCCTGCTGCCGTAATTGCTACCTGTTAAATTAACTGTATTACACTTTAAAATTTCTGATTCTAATTAGAATCAGAACGAATTGTCAACTTTGAGAATACAGTGCTATCTTTAAAACAGTAACAGTAGAAACAGAAATAAACTATAGTGCATGTAGAACAGTAGTGATATCCAATTTTTACTACCGGTTCTGTGGGCGTGGCTTGGTGGGCATTGTGTGGTTGGTGGGTGTGGCAGGGGAAGGAAGCTACAAAATCTCCATTCCCACCCCACTCTGGGGCCAGCCAGAGGTGGTATTTGCCAGTTCTCTGAAGTACTCAAAATTTCCACTACCGGTTCTCCAGAACCTGTCAGAACCTGCTGGATTTCACCCGATATAGAACCTATTCTATAGAACACAGGATACATGGAGTAATAAATGTAGAAGGGACTAGAACATGTCCATCCTCCAGTTTGGGTAGGAAATCTATATCATTCTGGACAAACAGCTCTCCAGTCTCTTTCTGAAAACCTTCCTCTCCAATCACCCCTGAATCATCCCTTTTCTTGCTTATTGGTGGTATAAGAATGAGGTTGTCAAGGAGTGACTGAATGAATGCATTTAGTATCTTCTCAGAAAAGAGAATTTTAGATATTAATAAATTTAGAAACTAATATTTAGGGTTTAGATATTAATAAAATACTTTCATTAAATTAACAATTCATATTTATAAGGAATCCAATAGAATCTGATAAAAGAACCAGATGTGATCGACAATTTAATATATTAAACAGAATAACCAACATATCTTTCAAAAACCTCTTTCATCACTCTCTCTAAATATTTGTTCCAAATTTCAGTAGCATCTTGCCAAAAGTCATTCATTCTGGCACTCTTAGACACCTTCCCCTCAGTTGGCATCAGCAGAGAAATGTCCTTTTTAAGAAGGGATTAGTTCAATGATGTTTTCAGTATATTACATAATTTTTGCACTATAGCTATTGCAACCAAAAAACATTAGACTTAATTGGAATTTACATACTGTAAAATTATTAATTTACCATCTTCAGACAATTTGTAATTCCCAGAGGCATGCCAATTCAATGAAAATGTCAATTATATGTTAGGGGAATGCAATTTATTTTTAAAATGATTCTATAGTTCTACATATACTAATGTCAGGTTAGCCCAGGTTTCTGTTGCAGTCACATTGCATGTAACATTGAAATTATCTGGTTTACGTGAAATGTCAGATATGGAGAGGAATATAGCATAGTTGTTCTTACTTACTAAAAAACACTTACAGCTTCTCATATTTTGTTAATCAAAACTGCCATCAGATATGAAAGTTCAAGACTAAACATGATTTATCAATAAAATATTAGGACAAAATATTCATATGTTAGGATTGGCAATTTATTTTTTTTTGAAAAACACATAGTACATATTCCCATAAATCAAATGAAAATCAAAATCCAAAATTGAAGTCAACATCACATATGTCTTGTCATTGTTTCATCTGTGGCACTAAATTAAATTAATATTTTACAGTATATTACATGTAGTCACTGTAGATGAGCAGTAGCACTTCTAAAGAGCTAGATTATGTAATCTAGCAGTAATATACACTGAAAACTCAGTGCCTCCCATGTGCACTGTCATCATAATTATTAAACATAATACAATGAACATACTTCAAGTTATCTTCAATATCATGAGAAACAAAATCACACTTATGTTAATTTTATTTAACGGCAGATTTCCCCAAGTTATACATGATCTACAGGTTTTTTTAATATATCACTGAAACATATTAAGGGAATGGTGTAGTTGTAACACATCTACATGAACCCAGTCAGAACTATTTTGAATCATAAACCACCTGGGTAGCAACATTTTTTATTTGGAGCATTACTCACCATGTTCTCATTTTGCGAGTCATATTGTTGGGAATTGTGAAAGGGCACTGCTATGTTTTCATTAAATACAATGGACATGCTTTCAGAAACTGTTGTTAGGAGACTCTGCCATAAACACTTAGGCTAGCATTATTTTTCATCCCAATTTAGCAAATTTTTAGATATTACTATTTCATGTCCCTATGGTAGTCTATTTTTATAGTAATAAATTGCATAGCTCAAATATTGCAACTTAATTAACTAAGAAGTGGCAATTTCAGCACATGGCATTCTAAGCTATTCATTTTCTACCATAATCATTTTTTAGTTTATTTTAAAGCATCTATTGCAGAATTGTGTAAACTCTTGGCTCATGGGCTGCATCAGGCTTGTGTAGTATGTTGAAAGTCTCATTCCAAGATAAATGAACCCAAATTTGCTTTAGGGATAGGTTTCAGAAGGTTTTTTTAGAGATGAAACAGGTAACTTAAGATATTAAGATATTGGAGCTACAAAAGAATCATCTGGAATATTCTAAATATTTTTATATTTGAAAAGAGGAAAAAAATAAATGGTTTGGAACAGCTAGATGGTTAATGAGCAAAGAGTGATGTGCTTCAGGTACCTCTATAAAGGTAATTAACTTTCTCCATAAATACATTTAAATAGTCTTAAAGAACTAAAAAGTGTTCTCAGTGACTATTCATTCCAACTTCATGAATTTGGTAACTTGCTATTTTGGCTTGATATAATTCTGAAAATAGGTTGTTCCTAGACCCTTGGCACATAAACTGAATCAAGAGGACCACAAAGATAATTAATGTTGCTTGTAAACAAACTGGGAAGAGACTTGCATTCTTTCTATGAGGGATGACCATTTTAATCTATCACAATGTTTCAGCGTCGTAGGATTTTTCACAATGAGGCACCTGAAATAAAATAAGCACATATTAATAGCTTCTTATATTTTCAAACTCTTTTAAAATGAGATTCTTTTATATTCTTTTCCTATATTCCTTTTGAATGTACATATATATATATTTAGAAAAACTTTCTAATATTTCTACATATGAAATTAAATTTTAATTCTTTCTTCCAATTGATTGCATTTTTCTGGAACAACTGGAAGTCTGGGATCTTCTGCCCCAACTTAATGCCAAGGAAAAAATGTTCTGCCTTCAGTTCCAAAATACTTTTCTGCCATCTATGGACAAGGTGTTCAAAGGTTTCTTTTCAACAGTGAAGATTAAATGGAGCAGATATTGCTGCAATATTTCTTTCTTTTTTCTTATATTTTTAAGTAAATTCTCAGGGATCATATTTGATATAAATACTAAGACAAAATATATAAAAGATTATTGATTTGGACAGCACCTTGTTTTTTGAAATTGCTTTCTTACTTCACTGATTTTAATGCTATTGTTTACATATCATTATTTTATTTTTCTAGGTGTAATAGCTTTATGCGATGCATATTTCCTTACAAAATGACCTGAAAGATGTGTTTCTTATGAGTTATTCTCCAAGCAGATTAGACTGCCATATTTATAGTCTGAGATGAAAAAAAAATCCATTGTTTGTGAAAACACACATAACAGCACAGATTTATCTGTGTTGATGTACTTAAGTTATACTTCCAATATACTAGGAAATTCATTGATATCAGAGATACCAAATTGTTTCTATTGATCTTGCTAATACTATTACAGGCATTGCTACTGATGCTTTTCAATATTTTCCTGTATGAGTCTGAGTGAGACCTACTGATCCAACAATTTAAGTACTTTAGTGTCCTTAGCAGCAGGTTTCAAATTTGAGCTTTCTAGGTCTTGAGAAGAAATTTTTCAAACCTGTAAAGGATTGAGGGATTCACTTCTCAAATCTCATATATGCCATGATATGTAAGTTATGCACACAGAATTGCAATATCTGAAAGCAAATCTGTCCAAATAATATGTTTAAATATTACACCTTCTGAGTCAAACTGTTATGTGCAGAAATAAGTAAAACTTCTGTTGGACTTATTCAAAGCCAGAAGCTGGAGGAGAGATGATGCTTGATATGTTCCTTTCATGAAGAGGATATGGTTCCACCATCAGTCTTTTCATTAAAAGAGATAATAACTGAACTGCCCTAACATCCAGCTTACACTCACTTTCCTGTCATAAAAAGCTCTATTAGCCATAGCACTTAATTTATAAGAGCTGCTTCAACTGCTATGAAAATATGAAAGCCTAATATGTACTTTTTGTGTTTCAGTCAATTTTCCTGAAAAGCTTTTTACAGTCAGTTACAAAGATGTATGAAAAATCTTACCACAATAATTACAGCTGCTACTCATCTAAACAACTTTTTGGGGTGCTTAAGAATTGGAACATGCTTTTACCCTACCCTATCTTACCTCTCCTCTCAAATCAATATCCTTCCTACAAATACACTTTTTTTTTTACCTTTCTTAATCGTGCTTTCCCAGCTCCTGAATGGATTGCTTCAGTTAAGGCTGCCATTAAGGCCTGCCTTGAATTTCCTGGGCTGTCTTTCATTCTTGGAAGAGAATGGCCTTTTTTCATTCTGAACTGTGCAAGAGATAATGGCAAAGGAAGTGGTGGGGAAGGACCGTATTGTTCTTTTGCCGAGCTGCTTATATTCTTCAAGACTTCTGCATTTCGGAATCTCTGCAACTCATCAGAAGCAAACGAAGAAATCTACCAATTAGAAAATTAAAAAAAAAATGTTCACAGAAGAAATATTCAAATAGCAACAATTTGATACAAGGCATTTTAAACAGGGGTAGGATCCTACTTGTTTAACAACAGATTCACTAAGTGTGCACTTGTGCAGGGGCCAGACGCACACCAGACATGCATGCGCAGTTTGGAGAAAACTCACCTTCTGCATTGCTGCCGGCAAGGAAAACAGCTGAGGCACGGCAATGCAGTCTGCTGCCCCGATCAGCTGGGCTTCAGAAATGGAAATATAGGTGAGTATAATGCAGGGGCGGGCAGGCCCACCTCAAAATCGGAGGGAACTGATTCACCCACAGCTGAAAGTCAGAGCTAATGGTTCGCCCGAACTGGCCCAAACCGGTAGAATCCCACCACTGATTTTAATATCCCGTCTGAATTTTCAACTATTAAACTTCTATGCAATTTTATTTTTAAGACTGAACATCTGTTCCTGTTTTTTCGTATCTTCTAAAAGGACTGACAATCACAATCAAGGAATTAGTTTTGATGCGAAAATTCAATCTATATTGTTATTCTATTATTATTTTTGGCACAGGAAGGAAAAATGGTTAGCTGACCACTAGGCTAGATTCAAAGTAACCAATGCTTTATAGAATAAATGGTACTTGGCTCAATGGCAGTAATTGTGGAGGGATCTAGATGTCCTAGTGGACAATTACTTCTGTCTGAGCCAGCAGTGTGCTGCTGTTGCCAAAGAGCCAATGCAGTCCTAGGTTCCTACAACCATTCATCATATGCTTTAGCCTCCAGGTCTCTAAAGATATTTTTTAGAGTGCATTTCTCTGCACTCTTTCTAGAGTGTCAACATTTTTTTTTTGGTACCAAGGTGTCCAAAACTGGGCACAGTATTCAAATATGGTCTTACTACTGCAGTATAAAGTGGTACTAGCACTTCATGTGATGCGTCTCCCCTATAAAAATATGGTGAGATGTATGTTACAGAAATCCGTACCAGCTCAGTTGTCACATGGATTAACAAGGACCATGCTAGATGTTGGAGTTCCTGGATATCTGGTGAAAAATGGGCTACAGGACTCAGAACTGTTGGCTGATCAATCAAGGCCAGCAGCTCCATAGCTACTAGAAGAAAAGGTGTTTACACGTCACAAATACACAGTAATTGAAACAAGAAATAATGATCTATTATTATTACAGATCAAGTCCAACAAGAAAAGGATATTTGACACTAATGCACCTGTTCTGGAAAGAATAACATGTAGAATCAGAAATAATAGAAATAAAAGAACAAGGATTTTCAAGGATGAAAATGTTTTTGAACGCATTTGAGTTAATATAAAAGGAAATCACTCTACCAAACAGGAAATAGATAACTTTTTGCAAATCAGTTACCTAAGCAGGGCAAAAAGCATACTACACTAGTAATGGGGGATATTAAGTATCTTGACATAAATTGGAAGACAAACTATGCACCAAGTGGGAAATCAAATAGGTTCCTGATGAAACCAACAGACAACTTTATCACCCAAAAACTATAGGAGGGAACTAGTGGGCCGGCTATACTGGACTGAATCCTTACTAACAAAGATGAAATGATAGAGAAGATTGAAGTTGTAGGAACTTTGAGGGAGAGGGTCCATGTCATATTGGAATTCAACGTAATGGAGACACAAGCAATAGAACAAAGTCAAACTAGTGTCTTAGATCTCAAGACAGATGACTTCAATAAACAGAACAGCTTGGAAAGGATTCCATTTATGGAAATCTTAAAGAGAAAAATAACTCAAGAAGCATTGGAAACTCTGAAAATTGAGATTATAAATGCTCTGTCTAGTTCAATATCTCGGAGTAAAAGAAATAGAGAGACCCCAGATGAAACTAGCATGGTGGCATATAGAGCTTACAGTCTTTCCATCCCACCTTGGCTGGGTTGATTCAGTCAATGATTGTTGGAGATCCTGTCTTTCACCACTCCAGTATGGAATTCTCCAGAGATAAAAAAAAAAAAGGCGAAAGATTTATACGATCTGAAGAGAAACCAGAGTATGAGGACTTCCGGTTGGGAATCGTGGCGACAGGGTGTTGTGTGAGCGAGCTCTGCTCCACGACACTGTCTTTTTCGCCGTGTCTTGGGGACCCTGAGGGGCGAGATAGCCCGGAGAGCGTCTCGGACTAGAGAGGGGATCTGAAGAGTGGGAGATCGACAAGCAAACGTCTCCCGCTTGGACAGATTCCTCTGTCAATCCGGCATGGGTGCGTCCGCCGTCTAATGGCGGACCCGAGGCCGCGACAACCAACAACAACGAGGAAGCGAGAAGTTCGGAACGGTTAACGTGAGAAGGAAACCCAACTGCAATCCCTGGAGATCGTGAGAGCTGATCTTAAGAAACTGCGAGTAGAGCCAGCTGAAAGAGCTCAGGGCGGTGGTGAGGCAGCGACTGCAAGTGACAGAGCAGATCAGAAGTGTAGATTGCGGGTGAAACTGCGAGGAGGAAGGAGAACTTGCCAAGGCAGGGGAAGGCAAAATTAGAAGCTGTTAGTACTTTTTTTCCCTTAACTTTGCAGCCATTGTGGATGAAATAGCTCAGACTGGATTTTGAATATAACATCGTGAGGAAACATCAAAACAAAACTTTGCAGCTATTAACTCTTTGTTACCCAGGCTCTCCCGAAGGGAGAAACTGGAAGTGCAGCCATAAATTACAACGCACATGTGAAGCTTGACAGCAGGAACAATTTTGAGTTGCCTTGAGCTGTGGTGTTTCCTTTCGAACAGTACTCTGTTTACTAAGATTTAACTGTCCTTCGGATCTGTTGGGACTTCCCCGCAATTAATTAACTGAACTAATTTGATACATCAAAGAATTTTTTTCTCTTAATCGTGGTAGCACTTAATTAAATAATAAGAGTAATCAATTTTTAAAAAAAAAAATACATTATTGATAGGCTTTGATATCAATTACTAATAATTACTAATATTACCCTATTTATTATTTATTTATTCTATAATCCTATAATCACTCCTTTATTTATATCTTTATCTATTTTTCCCTGTTGCTATTAATTTTTTTTTAATTTGATTTATATGCCGCCCTTCTCCAGAGACTCAGGGCGGCTTACAATGTGTTAAGCAATAGCCTTCATACTTTTGTATATTTATACAAAGCCAGCTTATTGCCCCCACAAACTGGGTCCTCATTTAACCTACCTTAGAAAGGATGGAAGGCTGAGTCAACCTTGAGCCTGGTAAGATTCGAACCTGCAATAATTGCAGGCAGCTGTGTTAATAACAGGGTGCATTAAACCACTGTACTACCAAGGCTCCTTGATTGATTGATACCTATATCTATATTTATCTTAGATTACATAGGATTAAAATATATAGAATATATTTATATATATAAAATTAAATTATTGATTAGATTTAATGAACTTAATAAGTGTGCAATAGCTCAATTGGGTGAATATTGAAATTTGATTTTTGTAGGGTTTAAGAACTAATTAATATATACAGGTCTGGATTGGATAACTATATCTTATTGATAGTTCTTACTGTATAACATCTAGTTTATATTTATATATAACCTTAACTAATAATAACTGAATGAATTGTTGTGAGTTGAGCTATGAGCTGAGTTGGAAATTGAGTAAACCCTATGATTGGATGATTTAGGTTAATTCTATTATTAGAGTGAGAATAGTGCATGACAATTTGGAAGAATATTGAGGCAATTCTGATAAATCAGAGGAGCATTTTAAAGGAAATGACAAGCATCTCATCAGCAGTATTTAAAGCCGGAAAGAAAACATCATCTAACCCTGCACTAACAATGTCCTCTCCGGCCCCGCAAAAATCCACTGAAGTGCTAACTAAAGCGGACAAATCAGCAATGTTACCAACCATTCAAGCGAAACAGATGACCCTATCAACAATTCAAGAAACTATGCTTTTGCTACAAGAAAAGATAACCAACAATCATGTAGAATTAAAAACTGATATCCATTCTATCGATCAGAAAATGAGTGAGATTCAGGAGTCCATTCATAACAATGAGGAAAAGATAAAGAAGGTCGAGACAAGGGTGGAGCAGAATGAAAGGAATCTTGACTCGATGGATCAGAAATTAATGGCCCAGAATAGGGAGTTGGAGGACTCTATTATCCAGCTTGAGATGGACTGGGCAGCTTTTTACCTTCGTTTTCAGAACGTGGTAGAGGACAAGGACGAAGATTTGGGGAATGTTATGGTGGACTTAATAGCTGGAATATTACAACAGGACAAAGACGATATTATAAAAGAGTTGGATGAAATCTACAGGGTCCAAACCAACTACTCCAGGAGAAATAAGCTCCCCCAAGAAGTCCATGTCAGATTCGCCCGGAAGAAAGTAAAAGATATGTTATATAACATAGTAAGAGAAGAACCGGTAAGCTTCAAAGGCAAAGAAGTAATTGTATTGAAACAAGTTCCAAAAAAGGTCCGAGATCTGAGAAGAGATTATAGGTTCCTGGCGATTCAGCTAAATAAGAGAAGTATCCCCTTCAGATGGATCTTACCGGAGGGGATGCTCATCACCTGGCAAGGGAAAAGAATTAAGATTGATAGCCTTGTTTCCGCACAAGAACTTTTGGACCAGCTGAGGGGTGCGGAGGAAGATCAAAGTAGTAAGGAGGAATTAGATATAGCCTCCCAGGAAGAAATCAACGTCCAGTTAAGAAAACCCAAAGAAGGAACACCAGAGGAAAAGGAGCTAGAGGAGAAGGAAACCAAAGAAACTAAAGGAAAGAGACAAAGACCACAAAGAGCAGTAAGGGCAAATAAGAACTAGGTAGTTAGTAGGACAAATGGAGGGTTGGAAATTGCTGTCTGTCAATGTTAATGGTCTAAACAATGGAGGGAAGCGGAAGCAAATATTCTCAAAATTAATTAAATCTAATTCGGAAATAATATGTCTCCAAGAAGTCCATATAAGGAGAGAGGAGAGGAAATATTTGGAATT